TGAGGAATGGGAACAACAGGAACAGAGTGAGGGCAACGCCTACGAATGGGAAGTGCGCCCCTGCGCTGAGAAACTCTTCCTTGACTTGCTTGTCAACTTCAAGGATCTTATGATACCACCTTTACTTTCTTACTTCCAAACCGCGTCAAACTCACAGTCAGATATCGCTACCAAGGAAGCAGTGTATACGGCTATGGGTTTGGCTGCGCCCAATGTCATGAACGCCTTCGATTTTGACAGCCTCCTCGTCTCGACTGTTCTTCAAGATGCGCAACAACAAGGCCCTCTGTATAAGGTTCTCCGCAGACGTATCGCGATCATGGTCAGCCAATGGGTTACGGTCAAGATCGCCGATAACAGTAGACCGCTCATCTACGAGATGTTCCGCCACTTTCTCAATCCCGCGGACCCGAACAACGACATCGTTGTGAGAATTACAGCCGCACGTCAGCTGCGGTGGATCGTGGACGAGCTTGCCTTCAGCGCAGAGGCTTTCCTCCCCTATGCAGCCGATGTGCTTAACGAGCTCCTTCAGCTCATTCAAAATGTCGACGTGGACGAGACCAAGCTCGCCGTGCTAGAGTCTATGCGGATCTTGGTCACGAGACTGGAGAACTATGTCTCTCAATTTGCAGACTTTATCATGTCAAGCCTGCCAAGTATCTGGGAAAACTCTGGAACGGAGGAGTACATGATCAAGCAAGCCATCATCGCCATCTTTGCTGCGCTGGTCATGTCCATGGGTAGCGATTCTCAGAGGTATCACCATCTGATGGTCCCGTTGTTGTCAGAAGCAGCCAAACCTGGCTCCGATCTGCACACGTACCTGATCGACGAGGCGTTGGAGCTTTGGAACTCTGTTCTCATGCAAAGTAACCCGCCCTTATCCGCTGATATCATGAGTATCGCGGAATTATCACTTCCTCTCTTAGAATACCAGACTGAGACTGCTGCCCAGGCATTGTCTGTGGTTGAGTCCTACATTCTACTCGGTACACAGGCTGTCATGGAAGATAGACTGCGGCGTCCATTCTTAATCGCCCTATCAGGCGTTCTCGATTCCAGGAGCCGAGAACAGGTCAGGCTGGGCACTGTGTGCATCGAATACTTAATCCGGGCCGCATCTGAGCTCGGCGGAACCCAAGTGATCATGCAGGATCTTCTCGAAATAGGTTTCTTGAAGAAGATTATGGAGGCTCTCCACGATGCTTGGGAAGCCCACCAGACGACCGGACCGAACAGGAAGGTCAGCAAGCTCAACACGATAACAGAACGCGACTACTTCGCACTTCTCTCGCGACTCCTCATCGCCGACCCAACACTTTTCGTCACAATGCTCACATCTTTTGGACCCCTCGAACAAGTCTGGGCCTGGCTTAGCGGAGAATGGTTCTCCCACCTCGACGGGCTGGATCATCTTCCTAGGCAGAAGCTGTCCCTCCTCGCCCTGGCGCGCCTACTGGAGCTCCCACAGCCCATGCAGAACCTCACACTGAGCAAGTTGCAAGACTACTTCACGCTGTGGGTGGGCACCATTGCCGAACTCCAGGACGGCACGACGGACGGCACCGACTCGCTCATCTGGGGCGAGCTCGAGCCCACGGACTACGATACGCCCAAGAGCATCAAGGAGACGGAGTTTGGCGCCAAGGACCCCGTGCACACGATCAACGCCATGAGATTCGTCAAGGAGAGGCTGCAGGATGTCGTCCAGCGGTCTGGTGGCGAGCAGCAGTTTGAGCAGGAGTGGGCTGCCAATGTGGACAAGGACATTTTGCAGAAGTTTTGGTCATTGACGCAGATCACGGGCGCATAGGGAGCGAGTGCAACAGTTGCGCTTGCATGAGCTGGTCGTTGGACTGAGCTGTAATAGACGGGAAAACAAGGGAATGATTATGATTTCATGATGAGATTGTCAGATAGAGGGAGAGAGAGAGAAAGAGAGACGGGCTCTTGGCGCATATCCTGGCAATGGCAAATGTGAATACAAGAACAATTGGAAGCGCGACCTTCGAAGTGCCTGTCTACAGAGTTGTGAGCGACATTGAATACTTGCATATGTGACTGATCCATAATTTCATCTAGATAGGCCTCGCTCTATTCTCCAAAAAACCAACCGTCTCGCAGCAACTTTGCTTTCTACAACTTGCTCTGACCATCCTGCGGGATCTTGACAACGACCTTACCCCAGGTCCCCCGACTCCCCAGAGCGATAAGCGCATCCGGAATGCGCTCGAGCCCGACAAACTCCTCGTCGGTGAACTCTGTGCCGCGCAGCTTCCCCTCGGCGACGAGCTTCATGATACCCTTCCACACCTCGACGACGGTCTCTTTTTCCTTGACGGCGTACTGGCCCCAAAAGATGCCGACAAGGCTGATGTTCTTGAGGAGCACCTTGTTCATGGCCACCTTCTCAATCTTGCCCGCCGCGAAGCCGATGATAAGGATGCGGCCGTTCCACGCCGTGCACTTTGTGCTGGCGTCGACCATACCGACGGGGTCGTAGACGATGTCAACGCCGCGGCCACCCGGAGTGAGGGCCTTCACTTTGGCGGGCCAGTCGGCCTCGCGGTAGTCGACGACGTGGTCGGCGCCAAACGCCTTGGCGACATCGAGCTTGCGCGGGGTCGAGGCCGTGGCAATGACGGTGGCGCCAAAGGCCTTTGCGACTTGTACGGCGGCGAGGCCGACGCCTCCCGCGGCAGCGTGGACGAGGACGATGTCGCCGGGTTTCACGCCGGCGCGGACGACGAGGGCGCCGTAGGAGGTGGGCGCGGTGATGAAGAGGCCGGCGGCCTCGGTGTAGGACCAGCCGTCTGGGATGGCGAGGAGCTCCTTTTCGCGGGCGACGCACTGCGAGGCGAAGGCGCCTTGGGTCGCGCCGAAGACGCGGGCGCCAACGGGGTATTTTGCGTTTGAGGAGGGGGCTTTGAGGACGATGCCTGCGAATTCGCAGCCCGATGTCCAGGGGAAGGCTGGTTTTGTTATGTCTGTTAGTATTTCTTGGACTCGGATCTACTCTGTTGTGGCAGTGAGCTCTGAAGAGGGAAGACCGTACGAGGTTGAGTCTGGTATTTCCCTTGGATTTGGAGAATGTCGAAAAAGTTGGCGGCTGTGGCATGGACTTGGATGAGGTACTCGTCATCCTTCTTGGGGACGGGGTCTGGGAGGTCCGTCACGCGGAGCTCCTTGGGAGACTATTTGAAGCATCAGATTGGGTGCTCGTTTTGTGAGAGTGGTTCGTGAACGCCGATGAAGCTCACCTTGACATATTCCTTAAGCTGAATGCCGCGCATTGTCACTAGCCGTCTAAGGTAGGTAAATAAGATACTTGATTGAGATTAATTGAAAGCCAGGATATGATGTAACAACTGGACGACGTTTGTGTGTAATAGAGACTTCTGTATGAACGGGATGAGATGGAAGATGAATATATTGAGTTTGTATGAATCTGAGATTGAGGCTATGAGCTTTCGTTAGTCTCGGTCTTCTCTACGTGTTGCTACCCCGGACCGGGGGTCTTGGAGACGCCGAGGAGGGGGGGAGCCGAGGCAACGTGAACGGCCCCTCGTTGGCTGGATTTGGGGCCTTCTCGGTGTGTAAATTCCGGGGGATGTGGAGGGGGTTCGGTGAGCGACGGGAGCTTGCGAAGAGAGACATGGCCCAAGCGCGATGTGATCAAGAAGCTCCTCGCTACAGAATAAGACCGGTGATGCTGTTGGGCAATCAGAGGGATGCAGCCCCCAGCATTAGCTGCTGTCGTCATTCCCGCCACAGCTGTGGCGTGTCGATGGCTCTAGACTCTAGTTGATCAACTGGCCGAATAAGGTAGTGGCTGATGCGTTGCACATCTGATACAGGTCGGATTTCTCTCTGCGCTGTTGAATACCTTAGTTGTCATCGGTGCATTCACACTTGTGAAGGTCCAGTTGAATGAGATAGTGCTCCAATTCTCGAGGGTCAGTATAGTTTGGTGTTCACGAGATCAAAAACTATTCCAATTCGAAATCTCTCTAAGAGGGCTTCAGAGGGAAACGAAAGTGGTCGTACGTGGGTTGGCGCTAAATTGTATTGTAATCGCAAATTCGAGGTAGAAGTCGGTGGATAACGATGGAAGAGATGACTGTGGTTGTGACCTGAGGCTACTTTCAAGCTGGGATTGTCGGAGTTCAGGCGTGCCAGGGTGCGAGGTAGTCGCTTCCTCCTGCGTGGGAAGTCAGGGACATGAAATCGATTCACCGGGCGTCTAATTTTTCTATGTACGGCTTCGTCAATCATTGAAGGCAAGCATGAAGCCTCTCCAATAAAATCATTCTTCTGCCTTTGATGGAAGAGATAGTAGAGTGCCACTGTGTAGTTACTGGTCACCACCTCAAGCAGAGACGTCAAGTTTGACAGCGCCGTCAACTGTGACCTAAGCTGAGCACCCCTTGTCCGTTGCACCTTCCGCTCCCACCGGCGTTAGCGCGCTGCGGCAAAAGGTACCTAATTTGAGCTGCTCCGTTCGAGAGGTAATACTTTGTACCTGCCGTGAACTCCCATCCTTGAGCCCAGGCTGCCAGGACTACGAGTCACCACCTAAAGTACCCGATACTGCACAGCGACAGCACCCTCAGCGAATACGGCCCAGCGCTCACCGTATCCCACTCTCCCGCTCCATTGCGTACCTAAGGTATCCGACCCGCCGCACCGCGTGGAACTGGCCCATGCTTGCTTCCATCTGGGCACCTCATCGCCGCCTCCAGTGCTACTGCTGGCTGCTGGCTGCTGCCCCTCCCCGACGCCATCATTGGAGCCCACCTACCGTCACCAACGACACAAACACCCAATCCTGCGCAGCTCCCCACCGGCCACCTACCTTATTCTACCTGCCTAACTGACTTCCACTTTGCCCCAGCTTGACCTCGCATTCGGTCGTCTTGTCCACATATTCCCAACAACTTCTTTCTTTCCCTTCAACACATCACGTCTTTGCCTCTCCTCCACCCCTCCGAGCCATTCTCAGGCTTTCCAGAGACCAAGCCATCGTCATATACTACGTACACAACCAAGTATTGCCTTACTACCCAGCACCTCCACCGATCGCGCCCACGCACCACGCACCCGCATCACACGAGGTCATGGCCGACAACGCAGAGGGCACCGCCGATGCCCAGGTCACCTTCAAGGTGAAGACAGGCCAGGACAGCAATCACACCATCACCATGTCTGAGTCTGCCTCCGTACTCGATCTCAAGACCAAATTGGCCGGCGAGGACTTCGAGAATGTTCCCGTCGAGCGCCAGCGTCTTATCTACTCTGGTCGCGTAATGAAGAACGACGACACACTCGCCACCTACAAGATCAAGCCCAATAACACCATTCACATGGTCAAAAGCGCAGCCAGCAACCCAGCTCCTCAGCCCGCAGCTTCAGCCTCCACACCTACCGCACCCGCCGTGCCTTCCAACATGGCCGCTGGCACTGCGAACAACATCCTCGCTGGCCTCACCGGAGCCAGATACGCCGGACACATCAACTTGCCCAGTCGCGAGACATTTGGAGCTGACGGAGGAGTAAGTTTCCAACGGTACTGCGGCGAGTCTTGCGTGGCATAAGCTAATATTACGTTTCTAGATGGGTGCCCCGCCATCCGACGACCAGTTGGCCCAGATGCTATCCGATCCCTCCATGCTCCAGACCATGAACGCCGCCCTCGACAACCCCGACTTCATCAACTACATGATACAGAGCAACCCACACCTTCGCAATGTCCCCAACGCGCGAGAGATTATCCAGTCACCCTTCATGCGCCAGATGATGACCAACCCAGACATGCTTCGCAATGTCATGAGAATGCAGCGCAACATGGCTGGCGGAGGTGGCAATGCTGCCTTCCCTGCACCTGGAGCCACCGACACCACTCCTGCCGAAGCTGCGGCGGCCGGCGGCAATACGGGTCAACCCCCCAACCCATTCGGCTTCCCCGCGGGATTCCCGGGCTTCGGCGGTGGCGCTGGCGGCGCTGGCGGTATGGGGATGGAGGGACTGGGTGATCTCAGTGCGCTCTTTGGCCCTGGTAGTCCGTTTGCGCCTCAGCAACCCGGTGCCCAAGGCGCAGCTCCTGGTGCTGGCGCGGCGACTGGTGATAATACCCAGACCACAGCTGGTGCCGGAGCTACTGGAACAACAGGCACGGGCGCAAACGCGACATCGAGTCCACCCCCGGCCAACCCCTTTGCTGCTCTGTTCGCCCCTCCTCCTTACGCAGCTCAGGGCCAAGCTCAGGGCCAAGGACAAGGCCAGGCACCTGCAAACCCCTTCGGTGCTTCTCCCTTTGGTCAGATCAACCCAGAGATGATGCAGCAAATGATGAGCATGTGGGGTCTCGGTGCAGGCGGCGGCGCCGGTGGAGGCTCTCCGGCTCCCGCAGATAACCGCCCTCCTGAGGAGCGTTATGCCGAGCAACTGCGCCAGCTCAACGATATGGGCTTTTTTGACTTTGATAGGAACGTAGCCGCTCTCCGTCGCAGCGGTGGCAGCGTGCAAGGCGCTATTGAGCATCTCCTGAGTGGTTGATTACGACTTGAAGTGCATGATAAGGGAGAGAGAGAAGGGGAGAGCAGGAGAGTAGCAAGAAGCGTCTCAGGAGGACGTATGACTTAATGGCCTGTGGACAGGATACGGAGGGAAGTACATACCATACCTAGTTGCCACGCACTTTGGTTCTGGCAGTTTCCGAGGCGATAGGGAAATTGACCAGACATGATGTTTATGAAAGTTCAGAACCCAATTTTTCAGAGCTTCTTGTGACAAAAGAACCCGTGTGAAGTCTTGCCATTGATAAAACCAGAAGCATGGAGTAAATCTGGTCAAGCAAACGTCTTGCATCGCCCTTTTCTTTTAAGAGTCTTGGCTTGATTGAAGGGTCGTTCCCAAGCTCCGGCGCGATGCGGCTTAGATCGGCCCCGGGCCATCAAGGTGAAAGGTTCCGGCCCAGAAATCGGCGCCGTAGCGTCTACAGGCCAAGCAACTCAACTCACTAAGTACCAACCACAACCCGTGGTTCATTTCATGGCTTGAATCTACCAGCCCCTTCCACATCAGCTTGTTCAAATAAGATGTAGCGAAAATGATTCAAGGAATCTTTTATGCTAGGTTCTTTCCCAAGGAGGGTATGTATTCTTCTTTTTCGGCTCTATGCGCAATGCGACTCATTCCGAATGGCTGGTATTCCGACTGACCACCACTTTCAGGACCCCATATCGTGGCCCAGTCGCCGCCGGGCTGCATCACCACTTCATCCCCCGGGACCACGACGACCGCGATGAAGCCGCCGCTCATCGACTGGGAGGTGATGCAGGAGTACATTATCCCGCGCAAGGCCTTTTTCAACCGGTACATGACGGTGCAGGACCCGGAGGGCAAGTACGCGGTGCTGGGGTTCCCCGTGCTGATCCCGCACCAAAAGTACCAGCGCAACGAGTTCATTTTCAACTTTGGGCTGGTGCTCGATGCCGACGCGGATTTAGCGCAGTATGAGCCCGTTGTGAGGCGGTTGGCGGTCACGTTTAAGGAGATGGAGAAGCAGAATGAGTATTTGAGCCAGGAGGGCGGTGGTGCAGGAGCAGAAGCAGGAGGGGGAGGAGCGGCTGGTATGATGAGTGAGAGGAGGCCGATTGAGAGTTTGTTGGAGATTGTCAAGGAGGATTTGAATAACTATGGCGAGTGCATGATTCCCGTTGGTAAGTCACGTTCTCTCTCTGCTTTTGTCTACTGTTTTGGGCATCGCGATTCTCCTGGACAAAGACACGGCTGACCACGGAGCCCAGACGACGCAAACACAATCAACATGAAGCTCTTCCCGCATCACGCCAGCCCGCCCCAGGTCCGCGGCTGGCACGTCCCCGTCGCAAAGATGAAGTTTGCCGAAATCGTCGACCAGACCTGGGACCTGACGATGCAGAAAGTCGTCGCGCACATTGACGGCGTGAACGACGTCCGCCGCATCGCCTGGCTCGCCGACGTGTCGCTCGACCTCGCCACGCTGGCGCTGCGTCATTTGTTATATTACGACACCGTCCTACTGCTCGACATGTTCTTCTTTGGGAGCTGCTACGCGCCGCGCCCCGGGATCCACGACTTTGTCGCGGACAGGGACGGGATCGTGGACGAGTGCGCTGCGTACGTGTGTATCCACGCCCGGCAGCGCGTGAGCAACTTTATGCTGATTAAGCTCATGACGAGCTTTGTCGTGGGGAAGAGTGTGATGGAGTGGTTGCGCGCGCACCAGGAGGCTGGGTTTGATGTGTTGAGGTATGTGGATGTTAGGCGGCTGGTGCAGTTTGGTGTTATCAAGGGGTGCTTGTACCGCGTGCACAAGTATGTCGTGTCTAAGCAATATCTTGCGGCACTGGCGACTGGCCAGGCAAGGCCGAAGGCTGGTGGAGGGGGGGATGGACTGCAGGTGTATACGGATGGGTGTCACTCGTTTGATCAGATTATTACGGAGAAGAATCTGACGGACGGGGAGATTATGGAGAAGCTCAAGGCTTTGCCGGTGCCGAGCGGGGATTTGACTGTGTTTTATCGTTGAGGATGTCTCTTTGGGAAGCCATAAGGGGGGGGGGAGGGACATGTTGTCATGAGCATGGTGGTTTTACATTGTTCTAGTTTTTGGTAGTGTACAGGTCATTGTACAGATATTTGCACATGGTATCGGTGTGATACATCAAACTTGTAAAAGACGAGGACTATGGTAGCCTGTCCCTTTACTCCCGCGTCTTGCCCTCCTCAAACGCCTGCTGTCGCTCGCTCTTCTTGGGGAACTTGATATCCGGGTTATTCGCGACGGAGACCTCCTCCTCCTCGGCAGCCAGCTTCTCCTTGACCATCTGCTCCAGCTCGCGGCGCGACATCTTGCGGCCCTCAGCCGCAGCCAGCTCCTTGAGCTGCTGCATCAGCACGCGCGTCTTGCCCTTGAAGGGCTCGCCCGGGTACGCCTTGCCGCTGTCCTGCCACTCCTTGTCGCTGACGACCTCGATAATGCGGACGTTGTGCTTGCCCTTGCGGATGATGAGCACGCGTCCGTCAATGAGGAACTTGGGCACGTCCTGCGGGTACCAGAGCTTGACGGGCGTCCAGTCGAGGTTACCGGGTACGAGGCCGCGCATGTCCTTGCCGGGCGCGGCGGCGACGTAGGCGCCCTGCGCGCGGGCGATGCGGTGGCCCTCGCTGATGGAGGGGGCGAGACCCGCGGCGAAGAGGATGCGGGCGATGCCTTGGTTGTAGATGAGGTTTTCGGGGAGCTGCATGTCCATCTTGGGCGCGTTGTTGAGGGTCGTCGGGTGGCCTTCCACGGCCTTGTAGGGGGCGACGGTGCCTTGTTGTCCCGCCGCTGCTGCCTCGGGCGAGGCGCCGGCGAATTGGGTACCGGATCCCTTGCTGTACATGAACTGGTGCTGCTGCTGCTCTCTGATGGCGACGTCGGCGCCGTGGACGAGGGAGAGGACCTCGAAGGCGAGGGTGTGCTGCGCGACACGCGCAGGCGGGTTCTTTGCGTGATCATTCATGAGCTTCTCGATGCTGGTGGTGGGCAAAAAGGTGAAGAGCTTGAGTAGCTTCTCGACCTCGGCGTCGGAGCGCCTGGTGAAGTAGCCGTAGAGGTCAAAGGCGCTCGTCATAAAGGGGTCGAGCCAGACGGCGTTGCCCGCGCTCTTTCCGAACTTGGTGCCCGCGCTGTCCGTCAGGAGGGGCACAGTGAAGCCGATGGGGTCATCTCGCCAGCCCTCGGGCATGCGCATGTTGGGGTTCTCCTCGGACGCGCGGATCGTCTTGACTGCCTCGATGCCCGTCACGATGTTTCCGAATTGGTCGGAGCCTCCGATTTGCATCTGGACGCCGAGCTTGGAGTACAGGTGCCAAAAGTCCCATCCTTGCATTAGGGGGTACGTAAATTCTGCGAGGGACATGCCGTCGCCCTTTTCCATCTTGTTCTTGACTCTAGACAGGGGGTTAGCAACTAAAACTCGGCGTTCTTCTGTGAGAACTCACGTATCGCGGCCGAGCATGGGCCCTATCCGCATGAATCGGCCCAGTCTCTTCATGACATCGTACAACGGCAAACTCTGCCACCACATGTTGTTGTTCACGAGATGTCTCTTGGCGGCCCAGTCCGCCTCGTGGCCGTACTTGCGCCCCAGAGCTTCCACGTTTGCCCAAATCTTCTTCAGCTGGTAGTGGATCTTTGTGATGTTCATCGAGACCTCGCTGTTCGCCATGACCTCGCGGGTCTTCAACCGGTCCGTCGGGTCGCCTATTCTGCCCGTCGCGCCTCCGACCAGTGACACGGCCGTGTACCCGTTGAGGTACATCCAGAAAAGGGGCATAAAGGGGAGCAGGTGGCCGACGTGAAGGGATGCCGCTGTGGGATCGACGCCGACGTATGCGCCTATTCGTTTGGTCCGCAAGAGTTCTTTAACCTGTGGTGTGCGCCTTTCGGTTCGGTCCGATCAGCATCATTGTCGTAAGCAGCGACAGCCGTCTCAACTCACCCTGCGACGTCCTTGACGTAACCTCGCTCCTCAAACACATCCCAGATATTTTGGATTTCTCCCTGCTCAATTGCCGTGGCACGTCTTGCCCACTCCTCCTCTCCTGTCTTGCGCTTCTCCACGACCTTTTGCGCTACCCATCTCACTTGGTTTTGTCTGAAATGGGCTACTGGAAGCGCGGCGCATCGAACGCAGATGTTCCGCCGTAATTCGGGGAGGCGGGCCACCAATGTTGACGACATGCTGGAGTATGTGTGATGATGATTACAATTTCTATACTTTAATATGCATTTGGAAAGGAGCGGCAAAGAAAAGCTCAACACTGGACGGGAGTTTGAGGATGTTGAGAATCAACCCTGCCAGCAACCACAATGACTGACACAGACTCGTCACTCAGAGCTGTCGCGCAACTGATCCCACTCCGACGGGAGCTCCAAAAATTTCCCTTATCGTGATGCCGATAAGACTCGTCTCGCATGTACGTTCGCCCGATGGCCGGCCCCTGCCGACTTTCTTCGTCGACCAAAATCACGTGGGGCCATCGGAGCACTCTCAGCCAATCACAAACCTTCCAATGTCAGACGCCCGTCTTCGCGATCCGGGTCCTTGTGCCTACCCTCGGCTAAGTGGACATCATCGATTCCGGTACTTTGAACCTAGCACTCCTTCTCAACCTCCAAGCCTCCAAACAACGACATTCCGCCTCCCTCCCACCAGCGAATACCAATTGAACCGCCCGTGAACTACCAGCGATCACCATGGCTTCGATTGTGCGCCCTGCTCTTCTCCGGCAAACCGCTACGGCGGCCCGCATGGCCCAGGCCACCCCGATCCGTTCCGCCTTCGTCAAGAACTCGTCAAGAGTCGCCGCCTTCCACACAACCGCCAAGAGGGATCTGTTGCCCGTCGGGCCTCGTATGTCGCAATTCCCTCGGCCGCTATAAAGATACAATTGAACTATTGCTAACTTACTATTGCAGAGGTCATCCAGGGTGGAGGTACGGAAACCCATGTGAAAGTAAAAACTTTGAAAAAAAGCAAGACATCCTAACCCGTGATAACCTCTAGTGAACGACCCTGCCCCCGTCCCTCCCCCGAGTCCCGCCCACGGCTCCTACCACTGGAGCTTCGACCGCCTCCTCGCCGCCGGCCTCGTCCCCATCACCATCGCACCCTTCGCCGCTGGCTCCCTGAACCCGACGACCGACGCCGTCCTCTGCGCCATGATCCTCATCCACTCGCACACCGGCTTCCAGAACATCATCATCGACTACGTCCCTACCAAGCACTACCCCAAGTCGCG